ATTTGTGACTTTGTGGGTTAAAACTGTGGACTGAAAAACTTTGCGTGGCTGTCGCACGTTCTCACGGCAGGTGAAAAGTGTGCGTAAATATTCGCACTCTTTCACGCAACGTTGGTTTTAATACATCCCAACATGAAGCAGAACCTGGCGCACGTAACTTTTTTATGCGTACGCACCGTTCATACATGAGGCCCCAGGTCTCCAACAGTTCAGTGACATAACATTTTTTGACACCTCAGCGTATCATGTAAGATTGCAAAAAAAAWTTTTCAAGGTTTGACCAAAGCATGTAAAACTCTGCCAAGGTGATTTTTGTTTAAAACTTTGACAAAAGGTGGCTAAGTTCATAGTTTTAGGTGAAGAATATRTGCTTGCACAAGAAATTTCTGTCTGGATGATTTTATCAAAATCAGACTCATTGTAGTCTTTAGATCAGCAGCAAAGATGGCAAAATGCWGCATTTTTGTTCTTTGTACAGTTTAGACCAGCAGTGTCTTAATGAAACATCACAATGTTCTGTTGGTTAATTTAATCCGACTTTAACACATCACTGTGTTTGTTTCCATCTCCAGCCATCAAAGTGAACTGCAATGGTTTCTGTGGCATCACCGCAAAGCAAAATGACACTGATTGGACACTGGAGGAGCAGTACTTCAACAACACTGTCTCTGTTGCAGACAAAGGTACAATGTTCAACAAGTTTTTTTATAAAACCTTAACTTGTGCAAATTACAAACTCACTAATAAAGTTGTGTTAGGTTGGTTATTTTAACATTGTGACAATATTTTGTACACTTGTAATTCAGAAAAATTACAGTGGGGTGGGCGTAATTAAAATTGGAATGCAGTAATCCACAGTTTTTCACTTCCGATTCGGATATCGGCCGATATTATTCCGATACCAAAGCTCTGTTTTCTTATTATTATGATTTTTTTAATTTAGCATTATTGTTATCACTATTGATTTTATATAACTTATGTTTAACACAAATATAAACAGTAATATTCATAAATATAYGGACACATTTAACAAACCTTCATCCTCCAGCTGAAACAGAAGCTTTAGTTTCACGTTCAAAAATTGTCTCATTGTTTTGACTCAAACACACTAAAACTGACTTAACTGAACGCTAAACACACACAACACATCTTAATGATAAAATCCAAACAAGCTAAATATCACAAATCTCATTACTCACTCCTGCTCTCCATCACCGCCAAACTAAATTCAACTTTCACATCTTTGTCTTCGTCCTGCTGCAGAATTTTTGGACAAAAAACTTCATGTCTCAGTTAAGCCCTGTCACACTATGACATTTTAAACAACTTATGCCAACATGTGAAAATTTTAAAGACATCTATGTTGAGTATGGAACTGAAAAAAAAAATCAACTGGAAACCTCTTTTAGGAGTGTACAYACTGTAATGCTAATAAATAGATGAAATTTGTAAGTTTTATTAATAATTTAGTGAAAATTTTGTTTTCATAAGTTGGCATAAGTTATCTGAAATGTTATAGTTTGACAGGGCCTTCAGAAAGGGAGAGATGGTTGTGTGTTCATCTCGGTAGAAGGCTGAGACTGGTGTACAGTTTGCTCCATGAGTCTGCCCGTGTTTCTTGTTGCCGCACTGCAGCAACAAGTGTTTCAAAATGRCCATCAGTTACAGAAAAAAATGTCATTTTTTATCATAACTAGTTTTACTTGGCCTGTCAAGACATTTAAAATGTACTGGTATATAGTTTAAAGTCTCTACTTTTAAACACACAGGTCATATTGTAATGAAAAGTTGGTTTAGCCACCGAGCTGCTGGCCTGCTAGCTGGCTGCAAACTGTGGAATGATTTCCTGAGGGGTATCTGGTTCATTTGGCAYAATGATGGATCAGTGGTTAGCACCAACGCTTCATAGCAAGAAGGGTCTGGGTTCGATCCCCAGTTTGGACCTGGGGTCTTTCTGTGCATGTTCTCCTCGTGCTTGTGTGGGTTTTCTCCGGGTACTCCTGTTTCCCCCCACACCCTAAAAACATGTACAATAGGTTGCCTTCTGGCCCAGGCCTCCATTGAAAAAGAGATCTGAGATCTCAGTGAGGTTTGCCTGGTTAAATACAAGTAAAATAAATTCTTCCGTGTCTCACTGAGACGTTCCTCTGTTCAGGAAATCATTTCCACAGTTTGCAGCCAGCTAGAAGAGCAGCCAGCAGAGAATCACTTATTTCAACAGAAAACATTAAAGCACAGACACAGCTCATGGATCAGAAATCTCCCCATATTGTATCAGATCCATTAATTATGTTGGGTTGGTATCAGAACCCGCTACAGAAACTGGATCGAATCGGCCCCATCCCTCCTATGAAAATGAAAGCTCTTATTTTATAATGTAGCCTTGAGGCATATCAATGGAACTCAGAGGGGCGATTGTTTTGGTTTCCACTGACAAATGTTATCTGTGCTCTCTGTGTCTCCTACAGGAACTCTAAAACAGGGGGAGCACTCATTTCCATTCAAGTTTCTCATTCCAGGTAGGAGCATGGAGTGATGGGAGTAACACACGCTCTGTATTCTCTCCCATGCCCCCCCCTTTGTACTCAGACATGTCTCTACATGTTCTGTTAAACCTCAGCCTGTTATTTGGCAGTGCTGAACATTGGAATTTTGTTCCTGTGCTTACTGGGACTTATTGTCCCATTTTCGTGTACTAGTTTTACTAAGGTAATCATTTGAAAATGCAGTAGGAGTTCCAGTCAACCAGGGGCCACTCAGAGTAAAAAG